ATAAGTAGACATTTTTTGAAGTTAATCTTTTCTAAGCATACATATTTTGATAGTACCAACAGTTTTCAAAATGTGTGCTGTAGGGTTATTTAAAGAGATGGGTTGGCGTAGAATGGAAGATAAGTGACTCTTTTCTGCCTCAACCACAATGTCATCACTTTGCAATCTTTTACATATTGAGATTCCATGTATAACTTTGTTTTAAGCCTTCCACAGTCCAAAAACAGTAAATTGGAAGCCATTGATCTTTTAAACAAGAGGGCAATTTGTTTCCATGCTACAATAGCATCATTGACCTAAACTGTGAGAACCAAGTATTCTTGGAACAGATCTAGTATAATGTTTACCACTCACACAATTCATTGTTTTATGAAATTAACATATCATCAGAATAGTTGTGGTTATTTAAAATATGCAAAAGTTAATACCTGGCCTTTGGAGATTGGTTTTATGGGTCTAGAACATTTGTAGAATACTTTGGATACTGTAACAAAATTACATTTTTCTAATAATGTTAGAAGATAAAACTCTTGCAGTGAAATATTGTTTTGACTTTTATTGGAGAACTTCAGATTTAGTACACACTAAATCATAAGACTGTTTCTGGAATGATTACAGTAAGCTATGTATACCATTCTTGCTCTTAAAAATCTTTCTTCCTAGTGTATTTTCCCCTTCTTATTAACAATCCAGTTTCTTTTGGGAAATTGCTTTTTGCTAATGTAGTATGGTCTTGCTGGGATGAAAAATCCAGGTACCTGTCTATTCTAAGCTTCATTTTTCTCTCTTTGAAAAACTTTCTGAATTTCTTCATATTTTTTCAATACATTCCCGTTTTTCCTTGAGCTAGCCAAATTAATTTCCGTGACTCATATGTTAGACAACTAACTGAAATACTACCTTAGAAATACTATTAGATTACATATTTTTTTTTTCTGGTTATTGGACTTCTTTAAAATGCTCAAAATTTTATCTACAGTAATAGAAATGCAGCTAAACAACCTGCATTTGATACAGTTCAAAGTTAGCAATATTTATTTAATGTGTTCAATTGAAAACTGTAAAAAGAAAATAAGTATAGTTTGGCTCTTTAAACATGTACCACCTTAACAGTAAAATAACTGTTTTTTCATGATAGTATAGATTAAATATAAATTAAGGGTATGAGCCAAAGCTGCATCAAAAAGTCTAAAATCCTGGAGTAAGATTATTTTTTGCTTAGATATACCTTTTCTTATTTATTTTTTATTGATACATAATATTTTACTTATTTTTATTGATACATAATATTTTACATATTTTGCGGTATATGTATTTGTTATCTGTGTAGAATGTTTAATGATGAAGTAAGGGTATTTGGGGTATTCTTTACTTTGAGTGTTTGTCATTTCTGTGTTGGGAGCATTTCAGGTGCTCTTTTCTAGCTACTTGAAACATACAATACATTGTTGCCAGCTATAGTTACCCTACACTGCAGCTGAATACTATAATTTATGTCTTATAACTATATGTTTGAATTCAAACTATATGTTTGAATCCATTAGCCAATGTCTAACCTCCCCATCTACCCACACACACATCCTTTCCAACCTCTGGTGTTTATCATTCCATTTTATACCTCCATGAGATCAACTCTTTTAACTCCCACATGTGAGTGAGAACTTATATTTGTCTTTTTGTGGCTGGCTTATTACCTTTCGTATAATGACCTCCAATTCCATCTATATTGCTACAAATGACATGATTTTATTTTTATTTTTATTTGTAGCTGAATAGCATCCTGTTGTGTATATACACTATATTTTCATCGTTTCTTTGTCTGTTGAGGGACACTTGGGTTGATTCCATATCTTTGCTGCTACAAATAGTGCTGCAATAAATATGCCAGTGCAAGTGTCTCTCTGTTACAGTGATTTTGTCTTTTTTGGATAAATACCCAGTAGTGGATCATATGTTAGTTCTATTTTAAGTGTTTTGAGAAATTTTCATACTGTTTACCATAGTGGCTGTACTAATTTACATCCCCACCAACACTGTATTAAGAGTTTCCCTTTCTCTGAATCCTTGCTAGCATCTGTTATTTTTAGTATTTTTAATAATAATCATTCTAACTAAGATATCTCATTGTGGTTTTGATTTGCAAATTCCCTGATGATTGATGATGTTAAACTATTTTTCATGTACCTGTTGGCCATTTGTAAGTCTTCTTTTGAGAAATTACTTCATGACCTTTGCCCACTTTTAAATAGGCTTGTTTGTTTACTGTCGAGTTGTTTGAGTTCTTTGTATGTCCTAGATTTTAGGTCCCTGTCAGTAACATAGTTTTTAAATATTTTAACTCATACCTCAAGTTGGTTGTTCACTTTATGGATTGTTCCTTTGTTGTGCAGAAGCTTTTCAGTTGGATATAATCTCATTTGCCTATTTTTATTTTTGTTGCCTGTGCAACAGTTCCAGCTCCTGGAACTGTGTTCCCTGCATTTTTTGCCTCCTGGCCTCTTCCTCTATCTTCAAATCCAGGAGGTGGCATCTTGCTTTGATGGTCACATTGGTTTCTTCTGCAGTCAAATCTACCTCTCTTATAAGGACACCTGTAATTATATTTAGAGTTAATTTAGGTAATCCATGATAATCTCTCCAAAATTTCAAAGTCTTTAATTTAACACATCTATAAAGTTCTTTTGCCATAATGTAAAATCCAAAGCTTCAGGTTAAAGATTAAGACCTGGATACCTCTCAGGGCCATTTTTCAGCCTAGTGGAAACTTGCTCTAGAGTATTTTGCTTTAATGCAGATTTGATAAGTATATTAGTGATTAAAAAATATACCCACTTTTCAAGCTCTTTTCATGACATTGTTCTCTATCAAACTCTTTTCCATGTAATACCCATATGTTACTTGACTGCTTTCAACTCTGTGCCTTTGAGTGGTCTGTTTTCAATGTTTTATTTAGAAATAATTTTAAAGTTTTAGAAAAGTTATTATACAAGAATAAGGATAGTACAAAGACTTTCTGAATGCCCTTTTCCAAGATTCACCATTAACATTTTACTGTATTTGCTTTGGTATAACTGACTTACATGTTAAATCTATATTTCCCTTTCATGAAAATAGATACAAAATTTATCATATAATTTGACATATAGATGCATTATATTTAATTTGTATATGATTTTATGTGTCTTCAGTTAAATTAGAGGTTGGCAAACTTTTCTGTAAAAGGCCAAGTACTAAATATTTTTGACTTTGTTACATGGCTCTGTTGCAGCCATTCAACTCTGCTAAAGAAGCCATAGACAATACTTAACTGAATGAGCATGGCTGTGTTTTAATAAAACTATTAAATGATTTCTCAGTTACTGTAGATAAAAAGAGATTACAAAAGAAGTTCCTTTAATATCTCTGATTACTAAGGAATAGTTCACAGTATTTTCTCACTCAGAAATAATAGTTTTCTATAGCTGATTTAAAATATTCTCATTATCAAAGGGATAATTTGTGATACTTCCTAGTTTGTACCTGAAAAATACAGACCCATACAATGTAAGCATTGAAAAAAATGAATGAATCAATACCTAGGTGAGTGAACAAGTGAAGAAATGAAAACTGTATGGGCCAATATTTCCTAAATCAGACTCTGCTTGGGAGTTTTGAAATTTTATTATTACATGATAATCTAAAACTTTTTGATATAAGCAAATTGAAGATTAACTGCCTGATCTCATAATTGAGAAATGCCACTGTATTGCAATGCCAACATTTGTGTTGACAATTTAAAGTTGGGACTAAGTAGTATCCCTTTAATTATTGTAGGCTAAAAACAATACAACTGAAGTGTACTAATACTTTTGTAACAAATGAAGGGTAAATGATTATATGCCATAGTGTGTCAATTTAAATATTTGTAAAATGTGGGTGGAAGAAAATTGTTGGGAGAGTTATATGTTGTCAAAATAATGTAGGTATGCTAAAATTATGTAAAAAAGGCATTGTGAGAATTAGAATCATTTTTAACTTGGGACCAATTATTTAAGCAAAACAATATCATCACATTCAGTAAATATTACTTTTATAAATTTGTTTATATGTAATTTATAAATCTATGTTGGTTTTATGCTTATAAAAGAAATTAAAGCATAAGGAGTTTATGTCTAGTGTTTGATAATTTTTTAGTTTAATCAAAATTAAAATAATGTGTGAACCCTAAAGTTTGATGAAAGTATATTCCTTTTAGGAAGATTCCTTCTAGTATGTTTGAGAAACACTGATGAGGAAACCAAGACTTATGAGTAGCGCCATGAATATGGATAGGAAAAGGCTGTGTTTTCAACTTTATAGTATTTGAAATTGTTCTGCACTAATTTAATAATTTTTATTTTATGATGCATAGTAATTTTTTCTTTTTGAAGATTCTGCTGAAGCGAACTTTGGTTCTTAATAATAATGCTAAGAAAAATGTAATTTTTGTTTTCATATTTGTTTAATAGTTTATAATTTTTAAACTTTAATTTTTAAATGCTTTTACTTCAACTATTTATAAAAAAGAAATATTTATTACAACCCTTGTGGGTAGATTTGTTATTTTCATTTCTGTAGATGGAGGCTTGATGATGAAAGAGGTAAACATACTTGCCTAAGGTCACATTGCTAGTAAGTGACGGAACTGAGATTTAAGTACATTGTTTTCTATTTTATACTCTTGTAGCATATAAAGTAAATCTGATGTTTTATATTATTAAAATAATTTTTTAAAATTAAAGACTTTGAACATCAAAGTCTGCTTGTGAGTATATGACTTTTTTCGCCTCTAGGCATTACATTTGCTGTTAGTAGTATTCTTGTAAATTTTATTTCAGATAATTTATTATATATATACGTTACATTTGTGAATATGATAAACATTAAATTCTTAAAATCTCTTAATGCATATATTGTATTTATATAATCTGAGGGCTTTGTTTAATCTAGTGTGTTGTTTGATTTTTTTTTTTTTTTAATAGGTCCTGATTGTTCTTTGAATGTTCCCTCTACTGAGTCTTATTGGATTCTGCCAAATGTTAAACCCTTCAGTCCTTCTGTAGGTCGGGCTTCACATAAAGCAGTTTTACATGGGAAGTTTATGTGGGTGATTGGTGGATATACTTTTAACTACAGTTCTTTTCAAATGGTCCTAAAGTAAGTATTTATTTTCAGATTCTCGCTATTTTTTATGCTGAATTTTTATTTAAGGTGTCATTTAAAAATTGTTGTCTGAATGTAAAATTGGTTATTTTTGTGATAGTATCTATTTGCTAATGAGACTGATTTCTGAAATACGAACTCATTATGTCCAGAGTTAAAGATTTGTCATTGTACATATAAGTTTGTTTCATGTAGAAATTTTATTACCTCTCTAGAATGTTTTTAATAAGTTCTAAGTAAGAAAATATTAACTTCAAATACAGGCAGGCCTTGCCTGTAATGGATATAATGAATCATGCCACCTTTTATTTTTTTTAAATGAAGTCTACTCACATATCTAAAATCCTTTCAATTTGTTCTGTAAATTTTAATTTACCTGAACTTTGACTCTGTATGTACTTTATGAGTTTTCATTGGGAGAACAGTGCTAGTATTATGAAAGAGGTGACTGATTTCCTGTTGGCTCAATAGAGATTGTTCTCTGTGTGATTGAATAAGGGGAATCATATGGATGGCAGCTTTATCTGATTTCTTTTTCAGCTGATGATTGTATTTTATGAGCCGTTTAGTAACAGAATATAAAAGGAAATAGCTAGAAGAATCATTTGATTTTCAATGTTGTTTCCAGGGATGGTGTTCATATTATGTAATAACTGGTACAGTTTGGGCATCAAACAATCAGAATTTACCCTGGACAGTGTACCATAATGGTGTGTACCCAATAGAATTGCCAGATTTAGCAGATAAACATACAGTATACCTGGTTAAACTTGAATTTCAAATAAAAAATAAATACATTTTAAATATAAGAAGACCCTTTGCTATAAATATATATATATATATTTTTTTACAAATTTTGCATGGGTCATGCCTTAACAGAAAATTGCTTGTTGTTTATCTGAGTTCAAATTTAACGGGGTATCTTGTATTTTATCTGCCAACCCTAACCACTGACTATATTAGCCTTCATAATTATGAAGATTTCAGAAATTCTCTAAGAGGAGATTGCTTTGAAACTGTGATTGAATGTGACTGGAATTATATTAGAAAACTGACTAAATTCTGGAGAGAAGGAGGGAGAGTTTTAGGTAAGTATTTAAGTGACAAATCAGAATTCTGTACCATATGAGGAATAAAATATAATAGGATGATTTGAAAGAGAGTTGGTTTGATTAAAATGAATTGTTAAGATATGAAAAAAATCTGAAGAAATAATGATACTGAATTGTGAAAATTAAAAGGAGATGAACTATGTTTAAAGAAAATGAAAAGTCTATGAAAGCAGGGTTGAACTTTCAATTAAATTGTGATATTTCCAAAGTTGGGTTTGTGAAGACAAAGAGCAAAAGGGTCAACAAGGAAGTTTGTTAATTTTAAGTTTGTATTCTTTGCAAGATGAGTACCATATCGAAAAATAAATTACGAATATTATTTTATATTCTTTTAAATGTGTATATTTCCATTGGAACCAGATTAACTATTTAAACTAACTTTTTTTTGTTTGTTTGAAATCTGGGTATTTTGGTTACAGTGCTTATATAGATTTGTTTATATAAACAAATGAGGTATCAGAGTAGAATAATTGTGTTGCTGTTTCACAGGTTTAGAATATTTTTCATCATTATGAATGTAGTTCAGTTGTAGGTAAGGATATTTAAACAGCTTTAAGAAGAGATAGGATCAGTCATAGTTTGATTTAATCATCTGCTATAGTGGAATTCAATTGGGGTGTAAATATTACATTTTAAGACAAAATTGTTCAGTAAATATAAAAATTCTGCATTAGTGTCTATTAAATTAGAAAGAGACTTTTACAGAATATATATACATTAACATTAATGAAAATTAACATGTATTCATGAGGATAGAAAACTTTTGAAAACACTATGTGCTTGGTGCTTTGGATATATCATTGGTTATAAAAAGCACCGCTGTCTTCATGAAGTTAGTGAGGAAAGGCTGAGAATGACAAAAATATAATTACCAAAGTAAATTATAGATATAAAAATATATACATATAGAGACATAGATGGGTGGATGGATGGAGGGATATAGATAGATAGTGGGGTAAGTAAATCAGGAGTGCCAATGAAGAGGGAGTTGCCATTATAAATGTAATAGTCAAGGTGGGCTTCATAAGAAAGCTGAGAACTGAGCAAAAACTTGAAGGAGATCAGGGGATTGCAGTTATTTGTAGGCACAGAAAAGAGCTAGATCAAAGACTTGAGATAGGAACTCCTTGAGGTGTTTGAGGAGCAACAACCAGGCCCATGCAATTTGCATGGAATATATGAGAGGGATACATTATGTTAGAGTGATAACAGAGGAGAAAGAGCATGCAGGATGTTGTAGATCTTCTGAAAGTCATGGGAAGGTTTTGAGCCTGTGTTGATCCATACTTTAAAAGTGTTAGCACTGCTGTTTATTGATGATCTACTAGGGATTAGGAGGAAGAGTAGAAAAAGGATTTAAGATGAGATTATCAAGAGAATGCATTTAGGGAGAGAAAAGGACCAAAAACAGCCTGAGGCACCATATCACTAAGAAGCTGGGGAGACCAGGAGAAGCCATCAGAGGAGACCGAAAAAGAATGACTGGTGAGATAGGAAAACTTGGAGTACGGTATCGTCAAAGGAAAGGAAAGACTGTATATGAGGATTAAGGAGTGATTAATAATGTCAAATGGGGATGATTATCCAGGTCAAGGAAAATGAAGACTGAAAACTGGTCATGGATTTGGCATGAGGAAATTGACCTTAACAAAAGCAGATTTACTGGAGTGGTGAGGTTAAAAGTGTGTCTGGAGTTAAAGAGAGAATGGAAAGTGGGGTAGGGATGAGGGTGATAAAGAAATGGAGGAGTAGCTTAAGGGAGAGTGTGGTCAAGAGATTTCTCTTTTGTTATTAGAGCTTTATAACACTGTGTGTGCTGATGGCAAAGATCTAGTAAGACAAAACATGGTGATGTAGGAAAGAGAGCTCGTGCACAAGGAAGAACAATCACTTGTTATTCTTGGGCTCATCAAACTGCAGAGAAGGGGTGCAGAGCCTGGGAACTAAGAATTTTTTCTTAGCATTTTTAGTTTTTGCTTTTTTCTTTTATTTGAGACAGGGTGTTGCTCTGTCACTCAGGCTGGAGTGCAATGGCATGATCGTGGCTCACTACAGCCTTCATCTTCTGGGCTCAGGCTGTCCTCCCACCTCAGCCTCCTGAGTTAGCTGGGATTACAGGGATGCCCTACCATGCCTGGCTAATTTTTAAATTTTTTTATAGAGGCAGGGTCTCCGTATATTGCCCTGGCTAGTCTCTAACTCCAGTGCTCAAGTGATCCTTCTGCCTCAGCTTCCCAAAGTGCTACGATGTCAGATGTGTGCCACTGTGCCTGGCCGGGATTTTGCACTCTTAATGGGCTGTAAAAAAAAAATGAAGAAGTATATGTGAGACCCTTGTGGCCCACAAAGTCTAATGTTTACTTCTGGCCATTTACAGAAATAGTTTATACAGCTCTAATTTATGGTAACTTGGAAAGCAGTATGTTGGCTGCAGATACTGGTGGATATGTAGAATAGTGTGAATCTGTAGAAGTTATGTTCTGATTGATTATATTTCTTCATTTGTATCATACACATTTATCTTACAATACAAAGTAGGAAATAAACAATGCTGCAGACAAATTTGGTAACCCTTAACTTTCTTGCAAAGGGGTGCTTCGGCACTTTCTTGCCTTTCCTAATTTATTGGAGAAAGAAAGAGAAGTGGGGAGGCAACAATTGTTAGCAAGCTTCTTAATTTAAAATGTGGTCCTATTTCTTGGCTGGATGCTTTCTTTTTTGTATTTTAGCGAATGAAGGAGATTTGAGTATAGAGTATAAGCATTTGAGATCCATAGTTTAGAACTTCTATTTTCTGTTTTCATATGTATTACAAAAAAAAAAAAGAATTTTCTTTTTCTGTTACATAATCCAACAATAATTTATTTTTTATGGAAGCTTCTATACTACTGGATTCATTTTATACAATCTTAAAAAGTTATCAGTGAGCAAGCTATATTTGTGCATAGGAAATAAATGCTTATTGGTTAATTTATGTAATGCTAAGATAAGTGTGTGGGTATGTAAAGTAGTACAGCCATATGGTAAACAGTGTGGAGGTTACTCAAACTGAAAATAGAATTACTATATGATCCAGCAAATCCACTGCTAGATATGTAGCTAAAAGAAAGGAAATCAGTATATCGAAGCGATATCTGCACTCATGTTTATTGCAACACTATTTATAAGAGCCATAATATGGCATCAACCTGTGTCTATCAACTGATAAATTGATAAAGAAAATGTGGTATATATAAACAATGGAATATTATTCAGCTGTTCCAAAAATGAAATCCTGTTATTTGCAGCAACATGGATGGAACTGGAAGTCATTGTAAGTGAAATAAGCCAGGCACAGAAAGACAAGTATTTTATGTCTTCACTCAAATGTCAGAGCTATGAAAGTTGATTTCATGTAGGTGGAGAGTAGAATGGTGGCTACCACAGCATGAGAAGGAAAGTGGGGAGACGGGGATGAAGAGAAATTGGTTAATGGGTACCAAAAAAAAAATTAGATAGAAGGAGTAAGTTCTAGTATTTGATAGTAAAGTAGGGAAATTATAGTTACCAATTTATTGTATATTTCAAAATAACTAGAAGAGAAGAAATGTTATGCTCCCAACACAAACAAGAGATAAATGTTTGAGGTGATAGATATTCTAATTACCCTGATTTGATCATTATACATTGTATACATATATCAAAATATGTGTATATTATATATATATATACAACTTATATTTCAATAAAAATTTAACGTAAGAATCATGCCAACTAAAGAAAAAGGAATAAAAATGAATACTTAAAACAAATTGAGAGAAATTTCATCTGTTTCCAAGAAGGAAAGCTGGCTTTAAAAAAAATTTTTTTTAAATACAGTGAACTCACTATTGTTTAGCTTAATCAATTGGTTAAAATTATTAAAGGCAATTAGATAATTAATAATATCCTAGTCAAGTTAATGTATATTATATATTTGGGAGATTGAATCCTAATTTAGTGTAGGCATGTCATGAATGAGTCTTTATTACAAATTTCTAATATGAAACATGAAATTATGAGTTTATTAGTTGTAATTCTTTTTGAATTTAATGAGTACTTGGATACAAGTGAATAAAAGCACATGTAAATTAAAAAAACAAAAATGAATCTTAGCTTATGAAGTTATTTTGTTTTCTTGTTTTTAGTTACAATTTAGAAAGCAGCATATGGAATGTAGGAACTCTATCAAGGGGACCTCTACAGAGATATGGACACTCTCTTGCTTTATATCAGGTATGGCTCCTGTTTTTTAAATTTTAATCAGATTTTGTTTTTAATAGTTTACCCTAGGGTAATACTAAATCTGATATTTAATTCAAACTTTTAATGAGAACAGTAGATTATATGGATCATTATCACTTAAGATACCATATACTCTTATACTGTTTTAGTAAGAGAATAGATGTTAGAACAATCCCATACATGACATGTAAAGAAATGAAGATTGAGTTTTTGTCCATGGCTTTATAGCTAGTCATCAGGTTAATCACTTTAAAAAATTATGGTGAAATATGTGTAACATAAAATTTAGCATTTTAACTATTTTTAAGAATAGAGTTCATTGGCATTAAGTACATTGTCATTATTGTGTAACCATGACCACCGTTATCATCAGAACATTTTTCTTTTTTTTTTAATCAGAACATTTTTCATCTTGCATAACTGAAGCAATAACTTCATTCCCCTCATCCCTTATCCCCTTGAAACCACCAATTAACTTTTCTGTCTCTGTGATTAATTGTTCTAGGTACCTCATGTAAATGGGATCATACGTAATTTGTCCTTTTATGACTGATTTGTTTCCCTTAGCCCAATATCCTTAAGGATCATTAATGTTGTATCATGTGTCACAATGTTCTTCCTTTTTAAAGCTGAATAAATATTCCATTATATATATAAACTGCATTTTATTTATCCATTCATCTGTTGATGGACACTCAGATTGCTTCCATCTTTTGGCCATTGTGAATAATGTTTCTATGAATATGTGTCTACAGCTATCTGAGTTTCTGTTTTCTTTTTTTTTTTTTCGGTGTATAACCAGAAGTGGAATTGCTAAATCATATGGTAATTCTATGTTTAATTTTTTTTAAGCACTGCCATAGTGCTTTCCACTATGGCTGCAGTATTATATATTTACCCCAGCAGTACACAAGGGTTCCAATTTGTCCACACCCTCATCAACACTTATTTTCTGTTTTTGTTTTCTTGACAATTGACCTGTGATTTGGATTTGCATTTTCCTAATGAATAATGGTGTTAAATATCTTTTGAAGTGCTTATTGGCTATTTGTATATCTTCTTTGGAGAAATGTCTATTCAAGTTTCTTGCCAGTTTTGAATTGGGTTGTTTTGTTGTTGAGTTGTAGGAGCTCTTTATATATTATGGTATTAATGCCTTATCAGAATATGATTTCTGGATATTTTCCCCCTTTATGGGCTGTCTTTTCACTTTGTTGAGAGTGTCTTTTGATGCACGGAATTTTTAATTTTGATGTAGTTTAATTTATCTGTTTTTTCTTTTGTTACCTATGCTTTTGTGTCATACACAAGAAATCTTTGCTAGATTCAATGTCATGAAGCTTTTCTTCTATATTTTCTCTTAAGAATTTTAAAGTTTTAGTTCTTAGGTTTAGGTCTTTGTTGCACTCAAAATGAGTTAGTTGTGTCTGATGTAAGCGTCCATTTTCATTCCTTTGCATGTGGATAGCCAGTTTCTCCAACATCATTTGTTAAAAAATCTGTCTTTTTCCCATTAAATGGTCTTGACACCCTAGCTGAAAGTTATTTGGCCATATGTATCAGGATTTTTTTTTCCTGGACTCTGTGTTTTATTCTATTGATCTGTATGTCTGTATTTATGCTAATACCATACTGTTTTGATTACAAAGTAGTGTGAGACTTCCTACTTTGTGTTTCTCAAGATTGTTTTTGCTATTCAGGGCCCATTGAAAGTCTATATGAATTTTAGGGTTGAGTTTTCTATTTCTACCAAAAATGCTGGGTTTTGACAGGAATTGCACTGGCATTAGTTATTTTTATATATTTGTGGGATTCATAAATTTAGCATGATTAAAATGACAGGACACTTACCTGGTTTTCATTTTGAATCAACAAAAATTCATATATTTTGTGGCCTTTGGCTAAGCCATCTAAATATGAATTTATGTATTTTCTGTGCTGTTTTTAAAAAATTGGAAAGCATGGGAGTAGTAGAAAGAACAAACTGCCACCCTTTTATCCATGCATTTGTATGTTTTAAAAGTAAAATAAAAGCCTATGTATGAAAACGTATACATACATTTTCTTGTCTTGTTTTATTTTTATTTCCCTTTGTAATGGCTTTACTGAGATATAATTGATATACCATACAATTCACTCATTTAAAGTGTACACTTCAATGCTTTTTAGTATATTCAGAGTTGTGCAGCCATCTGTTGCAGATTTATGTAAGATTACAAAGTTGCGTAATCACTTTCAGAATATTTTCCTCACTTCACAAAGAAACTTTGTACCCTTTAGGTATCACCCCAGACTTACTCATTTTCTCCAGACTTAAGCAATCACAAAGCTACTTTCTGTATCTATATATTGGTTGGTGCTGGATATTTCATACAAATGAAATCATATACTGTGTATTTTATGGCTACCGTATTTCACTTAGCATAATACTTTCAAGGTTTATCTATGTTGTAGAAGGTATCAGTACTTCATTCCTTTTTTATGGCTAAATAACATTACATTGTATGGATGTATAACATGTTTATTTATCAGTTGGGGACATTTGAGTTGTTTCCACCTTTTGGCTATTATGAATAATGCTACTAACAACATTTCTGTGTAAGATTTTGCCTGGACATATGTTTTTATTTCTTTTGGGTATATACGTAGGGGTGGACTTACTGGGTCAAATTAACTTTCTGAAGAACTGCCAGAATGTATTCCAAAGTTGCTGTACCATTTTACATTCCCACCAGCCATGTATGAAGTTTTCTATTTCTATACATCCTTGCCAACACTTATTAGTATCTGCCTTTTTGATTATTGCCATCCTAGTGGGGTAAGGTGTTATCTCATTGTGGTTTTGATTTGTATTTCCCTATTAACTAATGATGTTGGGCATTTTTTGTGTGCTTATTGGTCATTTGTATATTGCCTTTGGAGCAACGTCTATTGAAGTCCTTTGCTCATTTTCAAATTAAGTTGTCTTTTTTATTTTTGAGTTGTAAGAATTCTTTATATGTTCTAGATACAAGCCCTTATCAGGGATATAACTTGCAAATATTTGCACCCATTTTGTGTGCTGTTTTCAGTTTCTTAATGGATACCATCAAGAAAATGTTTAAGTGTAAAATGTTTAGGTGTAAAAACATTGGGCTTTATTTTGGTAAAGTCCAATTTAACTTTTTTCCTTGTATTGCTTGTGATTTGGTATCATATTTAAGAATTCATTGCCAAATCTCAGATCATAAAGACTTAACCCATTTTTTTTTCTTCTAAGAGTTTTATGGTTTTGATTCTTGCATTTAGTTCTTTGACCTGTTTTGACTTAATGTTTGTATATAGTATTCAGTAAGGTTGCAAGTTTATTCTTTTTGCATGTCACCAACCAGTTCTCCTAGCACCATTTGATGACAAGAGCTGTTCTTTTCTCTTTGAATGGTCTTGGTACTCTTGTCAAAAATCAACTGGCCATAGATGTATGGGTTTATTTCTGGACTCTCAGTTCTATTCCATTGATTTATCTCAGTATCACTCTGTCTTGACTAGTTTTTTTTTTTTTTTTTTTTTTTTTTTAGACAGAGTCTTGCTCTGTCACCCAGGCTGGAGTGTGGTGGTGTGATCTTGGCTCACTGTAACCTCCACTTCCTGGGTTTAAGCGATTCTCCTGCCTCAGCCTCCTGAGTAGCTGGGATTATAGGCTCCTGCCACCACACCCAGCTTTTTTTTTTTTTTTTTTTTTTGTATTTTTAGTAAAGATTGTTATGAATAATGTTAGTAGCATTATTCATAATAGCCAAAAGGTGGAAACAACTCACCATGTTGGCCAGGTTGGTCTCGAACTCCTGACCTCAAGTGATCTACTCGCCTTGACCTTTCAAAGTGCTGAGATTAGTCATGAGCCACCATACCCAGCCTGTCTTGATTACTTTTGCTTTGCAGTAAGTTTTTGAGAAGTGTGTGTACTCCAGTTTTGTTCTTTTACAAGATTGTTTTGATGTTTTGCATCCTTTGCAGTTTCACATGAATTTTGGAGTCCATTTGCCAGTTTTTACAAAGAAGCCAGCTGAGATTTTGATAGAGATTGTGTTGAATCTATAGATCAACTTGGAGAGTATTACCCTTTTAACAGTCAATTTGGAGAGTATTATCATCTTAACAATGTTAAGTCTTCAGACCCATAACATGGGATGTCTTTTCATTTGTTTATATCTTTAAAAAATTTATTTAAACAATGTTTTGTAATTTTCCAAGTATAAGTTTTGGACTTCCTTTATTAAATTTATGCATAAGTATTTTATTCTTTTGGATGCTTTTGTCAATGTGATTATTTTCCCAATTTCATTTTTGCATTGTTCATTGCAAGTGTACGGAAATGCAATTCACTTTTGTACATTGATCTTAATTCTGTAATAATTGCTGATTCATTTATTAGCTCTAAGTGGTTTAAAAAAATTTTTTTAGGACTTTCTATATACAGGATATGTCATCTGCAAATAGAAATATTTTACTTCTCCTTTCGAATCTTGATGGCTTTATTTAGTTTTTGCTTTAGCTAAAACATCCAGTACAATGTTGAATATCAAGTGGTAAAAGCAGGCATGCTTACCTTGTTCATGACTTTAGGGAAATGTATCTAGTCTTTCACTGTTAAGTATAATGTTAGCTGTCAGTTTCCTTAAATGCCTTTTATCAGCTTTTCTTCTGCTTCTAGAAATAATGATAATTTACATCATTTAAGTACCATTTATTTCCATCATATGCATTTGAAATTATTTGCATAATTTATAAGTTCTGCAAGGATTTACCAAAGGTGAACTGAAGGCACGTGGTATCTGTTCATAGCCATTAGAAATGGTAACAGAGGTGTACTCTATGTGATGCACAAATGTGATATGCGTTTTTGGTGAAGAGCACTTGATGAAAACAGTGAATTACAGAATAGCACAAAGCAGTACAAATATATGGTAAAATTCAAATGTAACTACTAGGGATTCAGATGATTCAAATATTGAAAAGACTGTGAGTAGTATTAATCAGGTACTTAGTTTGTTACTCTTCAGTTATATGGGAGGAGTACATTATTCGTTATTATAGGACTACCTCACCCTTAAATTTTAAGTTCTTGATTACCTTATTGCATTTTCTATTCTTAAAGCAGTAGTTTAGTGTTCTCTTCCTGTATCATAATTAAAAGTATACCTAATTGACTACATAATATAATAGTTTTAAATAAAATATTTTAAAGATTTTTGAAAGCTTTACTGTTTCCCCCCTTTTTGTATATAAAAGCATTAGTTGTCATTATTCATGTGTTCTCATTGTTTTTTACAAATACGAACAATGCCTTATGCATGTTGTGAGCAGTTACTAAAATTTTATGTTTAAGTGTAGCCTTTGTTTTAAATTAATATGTGTTGTTAAAATATAACATTATTTTATCTATTAATATATGTATTTTAATTTACAGGAAAACATCTTTATGTATGGAGGCAGAATTGAAACAAATGATGGCAATGTCACAGATGAATTATGGGTTTTTAACATACATAGTCAGTCATGGAGTACAAAAACTCCTACTGTTCTTGGACATGGTCAGCAGTATGCTGTGGAGGGACATTCAGCACATATTATGGAGTTGGATAGTAGAGATGTTGTCATGATCATAATATTTGGATATTCTGCAATATATGGTTATACAAGCAGCATACAGGAATACCATATCTGTGAGTTACTTAAAAATTGTAATTTCTTTATTGATTGGGAATGTTTTTATCTTTAATAAAATCTTCAAATGAATTTAGTCAAAATGGTGAGTTGAGATTGAAATTATAAGCTGAGAATTAATAATTTTTAAGCTTTTTTGATTATGTTAGATTTTATCATTTACTTTTTAAGCTTTTAAACCAAATGAGGGGAAATATTAGTTTCATTTTCCAAGATTTGTGAATTTTTAATATGTGAAATTCCAGTAGGTGGTGCTATTTCTTTGTATTTTACTTGTAAACCAAATACTGAAACTAACCCAATCTCTTTACTATGCTTTGCATGATTTCAGGATTTTTCATTTTTTAGCTTTGTATTTCAAATCTTATTGCTATATCGTCATGAATGTATTACTTCTTTAAAGAAAGCTGCTCAAGGATAGTCTGTTGTCTTCTATAAGAGATTATTATCTGTTACATGAAGATGAAGGTCACTAGGGCAATCTACATGTGATTTTCTGTACTATATGTTTACTCCTTTTTTTTGTTTTATTTTTTTGGTACTTAATTTTTTTTGAATTATTTATAACATTTCAAAACAATGATAACCTTTTTATTGTTTTTGGTTTGTTTACAAATATATATCCTATGGTGGTTACTCAGATTCAAGAACGTAATTCTTTTCTGGCTCTGGACGATATTATGAACTCAAATTATTGGCTCTTTTGTGTACAGACAACTATATATACAACTATTTAGAGTCCTTGTGCAGTCTTAATGAGAAGACTCATTTGCAGACCACCATTAGCAAGAGAGTACTTGTGTACTCAGAGGAAGTACTCCGCTATTTCCCTTGGCAGTCCTTTCAAGTGATGGCTGTTTTTGTTTACATATCCTCAGTACAGCTGGGTTGAAAGTGGGTTACATATCCCCTTTACTTCTTATTGCCATTTCCACTCTATTCTCAGTCCCTTCTTTAAATTGCCTGGCTTTGACTCTTACGTCATCAGAATATATCACCTATTATTTCACCTTTCTACACTCATCTTTTGCTCTCAGATGACTGTTATTTCTTGAGGAATTTAGCTTCTGGCTTACTGTCACTGTGTCCAGAATATATAAAGCAAATATTTTATTATGGAGATATGCATTTAAATACTTCTTCTATCATTTGGTAGATGACTGGCCTGTCAATGTCTTCATCTACCAAAGATTTTGTTTTCCATCGTCGTTAAGCCACCCTCTCCATTGTTACGTTCTAGACCTTGTTATTCCAATACAATGGGTTCCATAATTTCCATTTGAAGTATCTTTTCAAGTTCCACTGATCTCTCCAGCTTACTGTTTCTAGTACCCATACTCTGACAATTCTTTGACCTTACCAGAGCCTTTAGTCTGTTGAGCCTATCAGTTTTTCCATGATCTTTCACTCTTTTTTGTTCATACTTCTAACTCTACCCAGCTTTAAATTTCATAATTACCATTCTCAAGTTGTTCTGTAATGATGTCTGGTACTTATCCAGCTGTAAGTTTATAATTACTCATGTCATGTTGGCCCTTAATTATGTCTGGATCTTCTGCTAGTCCAGCTTGGTCTCTCTCCCAGCCCTCCCGGATGACTATTTCATACCTTTTCATTTGGCCTCAAGTTTTCAACACTTCCTTGTCTATCATCATGCTCAGTTGATGACCTTAGTTCTTATATTACTGAGAAAATAGAAGTAATCAGAAGAGAATGGCTATTGATGGGAACATATTGGAGGGTGATGGTTAATAAGCAATGCTACATTGAATAAGCTTGCTTACATATGTTATTGTCATACAGACTCATGATAATGTTGAGGTACATGTGTGGCTGAGTTATTCCAACTTTTGAGATGGGCCCAGGAGTTTTTAAGCAAAAGTTACAGATTTTCTATATAGAAGGGCAGTTTTGTTTTCTGATTTTGTTATTAAGTTTTGGTTTTATTTTAGTGCTCAGGAAATGTTGGTATTATTTCTACTTTTTAAATTTATTAAACTTTCTTTGTGACTCAGTTTTCATAAATATATGATAGGTACTTGACAAGAAGATAAATTCAATAATATCAGGGTATGGAGTTTGATAATATATAATTTATAAAATTGACTTTATTGATTATATTGTTTAGGTCTTCTATTACTGACTTAGTATTTTTTGTTCTTGATCTATCTTGCTGTGAAAGTTGAAGTAAAATTATAAAGTGTTGGTCTATTTTCCCTATTTCTCCTTATATATTCTGGAATTTATGTTTTATAGAAATTGCTATTATAGATATTAATAACTGTTATGTGTTTATTATAAATTGTATTAATATTATAAAGTGATTTGTTTGTTTAATGTTTTCTTGACCTGAATTCTACCTCATCTGTTACTAATATTATGGCCCTTGTTTTGTTTTTGGTCAGTCTTTTCATAGTATACCTTCACCCATCCCTTTTTTGTTATTATTGTTTAGTGTTTCAGAATCACTTTTAAAAAAATGTATTTCTTGCATACAGGAGAGAGTTCGATTTTGGTTTGTGATTCCTGTCTGTTTTTTGTAAATTTTCTTTACATGTCTTAAAGTCGCTCTTGCCTTTTTTGCTGGTTTGTTTTAGTTATAGCTCTTCTCACGTTTAGGGCACTCGTTCCCCTTACTTTGTTTTATTTTTTGTGAGGATGGGTATAGTAAGTTTTGAGGAGATCTGCTACCGTTAGTTTCCTCTATGCTACTTTTTTCTCATTGTCATTTCTGCATTTTTGTGGCTGCTTCTGCTTAGCTGTCTTGGTTTCACTTGATTTTTGTACATTTATACCTAATCTGGAGTTTATGAGGAATTTTTGTTTTACCCTCCTAATTTCTCTGGAAATGTAATTTTCTTTTCCTTTCACTTAATCCTCTTTCCCCATGCTTTCCTTTTGTTTTACATTTTTTTTCCAGGGAGAATGGGGGAGATTCAGAACTAAACTATTACCACGTTTGTCCTTGAAACCACAGGTTTTGACTTTTGAAATTTTAAAATAAGCACTTACTTAGTTTAAAGTACAACAGTACTCTTATTCTTGGATCAACTCCAATTTATAGGATACTGTTTTCCACTGTTTTGATTAATTTTGTTTTGTTTCAAACACAAATGACATAATTATTGTTTTATAATATAAATAAATTAAAAGTAGACAGTAAGTATATCATTTATTTATAGGGGTCTGCAAAAGGTATCTCTAAAGGGCCAGTTAGTAAATATCTTAAACTTTGTTGGTTCTACAGGCTCTGTCACAACTAATTAATTCTGCCTTGTAGCATGAAAGTTGCCATACACAATACATAAAGAAATGGGCATGGTTGTGGTCCAGTAAAAATTTATTTACAAAAACAAGTGGTGGGCTAGATTTAGCCTTTGGGCCTTCCTTTGCTTACCTCTGCTCTTTGAGGGAGAGAGTATGTTTCTGGGGCCCTAGTAATCCTGATCCAACTTAAATTAAAATTTGGCATATAGTTTTTTTAGACATTGTATACAGGGAAAATTCATTCCCCAGAGTAGCATGATATCTACTAAATGGCCCAAAGTTCCCAGGGGGAACGATTGTTTCCTCTATGTGAAACCAAGGTTGAAATAGATGCTATCTATTTGCCTCCATGGAGCATTTTTTTAAAACTCACTTTTTCATTGAGGATGTAAATCTTCAAGGATCTTGACTTTACATAGACACTCTAATCTTAATACCTACAGGGACCCACCTTCAGTTTTGGCCACTAAAATGGAATCTCTTGGCCACCTGATTAGTATATGTCATCCCTACTGAATATAGTTTATAATTCACAGTTTGCCAAATATATTTCATGTGTTTTGTATTTTTATTTATTGAATGTTCATCCCATTCAGCCATTAGATATAATGGTGGTTATGCTTTCCGAGGATGACCAGGAAAACATGATGGGTTTATTCTAATCAACTGTTAGTGGTAAATATTGATAATAAGTTGTTAGCTGATATATTAATCTGCTGGTAGGTTTTTGTTTGGTTTGGGATAATCTGATTACAGAATGCCAATTCTGTTTTAGATAGTTGAAAAATTTTTATATTGAGTTTCTTTTGGCTTATTCTACAACCAAAATACTATGTCTAAATAAATTTATCAAAAGCAGGATATTTTTGGCTTGATTTTTGTCTTAGTAACTGCATTACTTGTCAGGCATACTTAAGAATGTAGTGTAAGATGAAAATGGGAAGCATACATGATTGATGAGTTTTATAAGAACAATAGATAAACTATGAGCAGTTTAACATTCTGTGAATTATTAAAGCACAGAGTAAAACCCAACAAATTTTTTTGTAATATTATATCTTAATAGAAAATTAATTTCGTACTTTACTTATTCCTAATTCATTTTGAATTTGCTACTTACATGTTGAAAGTATGTGGTGTCATAAAATAATCTATAGTACTTTCAAAGACAAGAGTAGAAAAGGATGGCTAAATACAGTTTAAAGATGCTGTCAGAATAATTAAGTTCACTACAGAAAAGTGCTACTTTGGGGAATGATACTCTGTTAAGTAGGGCTGCTTTGAATATAAGTAATGGGGTGAGTTATCATCTTAGTTACATGGTAAATGCTTGTTGTCTCCACAGAGAGTAGATTTTTTGTTTTTCTTTTTGTTCTTTTTGTGAGAACTTCTATCCTGTGATGCTAGTTTTAGCCTCTTCTTCTTCACTGATTTTAATGGTATCAGCTACCAGGTTGGATTTCCTTTGAATATCTTTACATGTTTAGAGTTTCTAGAAAATTAAGAACATGAATTTTTTTTTTATTAAAAAGAGATTATCTTTTTTTTTAAATTGCATTTTAGGTTTTGGGGTACATGTGAAGAACATGCAAGATTGTTGCATAGGTACACACATGGCAGTGTGGTTAGCTGCCTTCCTTCCCCTCACCTGTATCTGTCATTTCTCCCCATGCTATCTCTTCCCACCTCCCCACCCCCCGTCCCTCCCCCATTTCCCCCCAACAGACCCCAG